AAGGGCGTGTTCCTGGTCCTCTTCTTTTTCCAATATATGTAATAACGATATATTCCAGATAATAAGAAAAGATGTTACATCTATCTTTGCTGATGACATGAAAGTTTTCTACTCACAACCACGTGCAACTACCCAGGAATTCATAAGTCTGATTCAGGATACCCTGTCTGCCCTCGACTGCTAGTGCCAACTATGGCAGATGCATTTTACCGTGGACAAGTATAATAATTTTTCCTACAAATGCCAAGTACTGCCAGACAGTTTATTACTACAAGGAGCATATATCCCGCAATGCAGGGCACTTCGCGACTTGGGCATGCGATATCTAGTCACGTTTAACTTTTCTGAACATTGTGACATGCCAAATTATGAAAACCATGAAGACCATCGGTTACATCATCGTCATCATCATTTTTACCTCACGGGATCTCACATATTGCTTTACAAAATATATGTATTGATGTGTATGGAATAGTGTTCAATAGTCCAGTCTAATCTGCGGAAATTTGACCAGCATGCTCTTGAGAGGGTTCAGACATTTCACGAGAAAGCTATGCGGATATTCCTCAAAGTTGACATACCGAGAGCGATGTAGTAAACTTGGATTTGATCAAGTTTGGCTTCGGAGTATGAAGCTGAACCTATGTTTTCTTTACGGAATCATAAACTGTCACATTCGCAGTCTTGATAACGAGGTTCACATAGCTGTAAACAGCCGATAGCCAATCCGTTACAAAGCGATAAATATCGTGATTCCAAAATTTACTACGAGAATCAGAGAACGTTTCTTTCTAGCTTTGTACTCAGAGAGTTGGAACAAACTTTCATTGATATCAGAACATGTTATCCATTTTGAAAGTTTAAGATTGCGATTGATAAGCAGTTATACGTCCAAAAAGTGAATTATATGTTCGAAACACAAACAAATAACATTTCGGACAACATTCCCTTTCATTTCATTTCATTTTTTTCTCGGCCCAAACATTTGACATGTGAATGTGAAGAATCTTGGTTCAATGACAGGAAAAAGATAGGAGAACGATTCTGATTACTTTGTTTTACCTAATTTGAAATTGCGCCCATGTTTATTGCTGGAAAAGTATTAATGCAATATCATGGAAAATTTGTACCATTATTTGCTCTGTTCCTTCTAGGGAACAGCTCCTCGTATCATCGAGGAATCAACAATTTGTTTGTTTATATTTTTGTCCGAGAGTGGACTGCTAATCGATCTCGACCACTCGATCTTCTCTTGCGCGGTTTCTACATACACCCAAGAACCCTGCGCTTGTCAGACGAGCAGGATGCAACAGTCTCGTTAGGAACGAATTTGCAACCAAGACGTTGCACGGATCGGATCCGGAGGCCAACCACACGTTTTCAGTTAGACCCAAACCAATGTTCTTATGCGTAACAGTTTTTCTGCAGAAGATGCGACGTCATAACTGAATGCAGAGCGGCAAAATGTTCACGAAGGGTAACTTGACTGGCCCAAGGCAAATTGCTTGGATCTTTTATCGCTGTGCGCAAAAACAGAATATCACGTTGTTAAGAAAGTAAGTGTATTGTTGGACAACAGGGAATTATGTTTGTGTATGACCAATCCGTGCCTAGAATCCAAAATTAGCATTATTTTGTTGTGACATATTTGCTGCCGTTGTCTGTTTCACCCTGACCCACACTACTCATGCCTCTGGGTTTCTATTTAACCAAATGTATATTCAACGGTAAGACAGTTGGTACTGGTAGCGTCTCCCACCCCGTTTCGTCCAGTCTTGTGTTCATTGTGTCAGTACACCTTGTGTTGTGGCATTCGCCTCAGTGTTTTCAAGGCGGTCTTACTCTGATGGTCATAACACACCCGACAGGCGTTCTCCCCATAAAAAGCTATATGGATATGTTTAACAACACTGCAACGTGGCGGATGTGACTCGCCAGTAAATAAAGTCATTACGGTGGAGCCAGCAAACTCTTAATGAAATCGTAGGTAGGATGTGGCCAATGCTTGGAAACCGACCAAACGATAGGTGTATAGAGTGAGCAATCAATTGGATCAACAAAAGAGATGAAATCTGACGGCAACATTCGCTAAACCCATGGTAGCATTACAAAGCAATTAGCAACTACTGAGTGTCGCTCCTTAAAGTCGATAAGTACGAATGCTAGGAGAACATGGTGCTGAAATTTACGGGTAACACCAAACTACTAGATAGAAAGGTGAGTGGCAAAAGAAAGGTTAAGCCCGGAATACCACGACTCAAGATGCCCAGTGGCCTAACACCTACTGCTGTGGATGCCGCAAATGTTCAACTCCTGCAGTTTGAATCGGTAGCTCCAAATGCCATGGAACCTTCGCCGTATCAACTCCCAACAAATGTCCCTGGCTTATCCAGAGTCATCTTTACTCCAGCAGCTGTTGCAAGCAAATTACAGTCTCTCCGGGACTACAATGCCCCTGGAATCGACATGGTCTGTCCAAAAGTAATGAAAACCCTTTCTGCCACCCTAGCAGCACTACGTGCAACCTTGTTCCAGGACCTGTTTGACTCCCATAAACTCCAGCTGAGTGGAAAAATGGAATTAGCACTCTAATATACAAAGTAGGTAAGCGATCGGATCCTGCTAACTACCGAGCTATTACTTTCCTTCCTGTTTTATCAAAGTGATGGCATCGGTAATCGCAGATGAACTGACCCGATACTTCAAAGTCAACAGATAATTTCTAATGCCCAACATAGTTTCAGACGCAATCTTTTCTCACACATTTGCTGCTTACTCGGGACTCATGGATCAGGGCGGCTGATGAAGGAGTCCCCATAGACGTGATTTACTCAGCTTTTTCTATGGAATTCGACAGGGTCATTCACTTTGTTCTCCTCCAAAGGCTTGCTGCCTACGATTCAACGGTTCCCTGCTCACCTGGTTGGTGGAGTACTGACAAGACAGAGCAATCAAAGTAAGAGTAGTCGACACTTACTCTGAAAGCCTGTGCGTCTCCAGTGGTGTTACCGCAAGGATCCGTCCTCGACTCGCTACTGCTTTTAGTCTGCGTTAATGACCTTCCAGCAGACATTCTATCTCTGATGCAAATATTTGCAGAACTTGCTAAAATATGGAGAGAAAACCGCTCAGCATCCTACCTTGCATCTTTTCAGAATGAATTGGCTCGAATTAACGAATGGGCAGAAAAGAATCACCTCCTGCTAAACCCTGCAAAGTGCCACCTGCTGACAGCGCGCGGCCGCTTCGTCAACACATACCTTTTGAGGAAATATGTTCTGAAATAAATGACTAGTGAACGTGCTAGAGAGTCTTGGCAATTAGCTCTAATTTTCGAAAGTAGCAAGTGTGGCGAATTTGTACATGAGACTTTTGAGGCGAGCTCTCGGCATCTTTAAGCGAAGGCTAGTACCAATGTCGATTAATTCCTATATTCGCCCTCACGTTGAATATGCAATTCAGGCCTGGTGTTCACGGTTAAAACGAGACGTTCGCCTATTGGAACAACCCTAAAGGATAGCCATAAGGGTTACGCGTGGACAATTCTGTCTAAGTTACGGACTGCGTCTTCGTGTACTCGGTGTTTTCTCCTCAGAATACCGACGGCTTCGCGGAGATCTTATTCTCACATAGCGGATACTAATTGAAAGTTATCATCCATGTACATCACTGTAGATCCTAGCCCCTTACAAACAAAGCTGAGGCAACCGCCTGAAACTAATGACGCGACACTCCCGTCTGAATGGTTGAACATATTTTTAATCACTTCGAATCTGTTCTCACTGGAATGCATTACAAAGATATGTGGTGAACGCACCAGACATGGCGACATTCAAAAGACACTTAGAGTTTAACCTTAGTGATAAACGCTGCACAACAGTTTTATAAAGTACAATGGTTTAACCCCTGATACATCACGTTCCACGTTGGAACATTCTGGTTTTAATTTCCTTTTGCCTATCCATATTGTGGGTCTTTTAAAGTTAGGCTTTTTATCTCATCAAACACTATCGACATACTTACTGAATTGCCGGCTTCCAACAAGGCGCGATTCTCTTCATTTGCGCCAGCACTTTATAAGTAAAATATCTACTCAGCGGTTGGTGGTGTTGCCTCCTAAGTCAAATCCCAACTTTAACTTTAGCAGCCGGGTAATATCAAGTCCTCTGACAAAAACCATGAGCTGTTTTGCACTGTCTTCGTTTGTTCATGTTTTTGCTTCTTATATTCATGCGACTTCATCGCACGCCAACTGTTCGGTTGTTAGCAATCCATGTTGGATGGCTCTTTGGCATTCGAAAGATAGGTTGGAAGCTTTCCTGCGCTTAGATTTAATGGTTGGAATTCGTTACTTTCAACCATTGTGCCGTTGTCATTTCGCGATTTGTCTGCTGCTGTGGTGTAGATGTAGTGTCGGCTTAGTTCATTCATTTGGCATTCTGAATTTTCACTGAGATTTGAAATTCTGATACACCCTTCCCATCACCTGTGAATCATCGTGTAGAAGAACATTGTATTCGTGAGCAAATGGGGTATTCCTGCTCAGTGAACTAACGAATAAATTGGACCTGTTCACTTCCGCCCAATGCAGATGTCGACTTTTAAGACACCTCTTCCTTTAACCTAACAATTTACATTACGTAAGCATCGCACAGTTACCGCGAGTTCAATCTAGGGACATAGACTTGTTACACGTGATTCAACGGATAACATGTGGTTCGTGATCAGTGATCATTTGTTGTTCAAGCGTGCGTTTTGTCCGGAAATCGTTCGTGGCCAATTTTCCTTTTCATAGACCGGCACTAGGTTAGTAAACATGAGCCAATGGTAAACGTTTAATGACAGGAGAATTAGATGGTACACAATTTTTAAAGTATAAGCTATATACAACCAAACGTGTCCCATAATCGATGATCTTGGCTAATTTGATGTATTACAGAAGGCGGATATTTAATTCTCAGTCTGAAGCACACAAAAATCTTTTTATTTCAAAAATGTAATTTATATTTTGTGACTAGGGATAAGTTCATCTCTGCGAAACATTCATGTTGCAGTGTCTTGTGGAAAAGTGTGGACGGAAAATGTCGATCGTGGTGCCAACCACTCGTATTCGCCGTCTCTTGTCGCGGCTATGACATCTGTGATAGGAACCAATGGTGTACAAACCGAGGCCTCGCTTCCCTGACGCTGTAAATGCATCGACAGAAACGTGTACTGAAACGTATAGTGAGCAAACGTTGCTAAAACACTATTTGTGAAGATAGTTTACTGACAAACAATGATCAAATGGAGTGGGTACTATAGGTTTACAAAACTATCACACCTCGTGCGGTTTCGATATCATTTCAACGCTTTGGGAATCCACCTGTAATAAGAAAGTGCAAGTGTTCGCCGTAGCTTTTCGAGTACTGTCAGATGCATGAGTGTGTGCGTACCATGCAAGCGCATGGTTTTACCTGTAAGTATATGATATGTGTCGAATATGGATGCAGCTTCTCACTTGTGAAGAAAATACCTATTATCACTACGATTATCACTGTTGATCTGCTAGAGTTGATTGCTTGATTGGTGTATCATGGTGGGTGCCTGTGTTAGAGATTACGTTTTCCCGTGGATCGCAGCGGTCCACCTTGCTTTCACCAGACCGGGACACCAATGGCGTCGTCGCCATACCAGTCTCAATGCCTGAGGCCGGGTATACATTACATCCGTCCGCACGGTCTTGTTGTACGGCTGAGACCTGGTCTGTTTGCTTAGAACACATGAAACACTTGCCAGTGTTTGGGTATTATTGTCTACGAAGAATTGCTTGTCTGTAGTGGTAAAATCACTGCAAGCAATGCGGGGTTTGGTGACTTAGTACTTAGAGCGAACACCCCCACCCAAAAAAGTTAGTCTCCAACACCGCATGCGTTGGCTCGGCCACGCATGCCAGTTTGTTACCTTCCCCATAGATGATTAGTTGCGTTCCCCAGAGGGGACTGGAAAACGTACCGCAAGAGACAGTCAGTGAAGTTTTAAGGGCACTTTAAGAAAGCAACCTCAAGCTTAGGGACAGTCGGACTAGTCTGCTTTCCAGAGTGGAGAACAGGAGAGATGAACTATTAGTGGTGAGAAACGTGGGTGCTATAACTCGCAGCATCAGATCGTCCGCACTTGTCCGAGGTAAGCAGCTTTGGTCTTGTAGTACAGTAACGGCCAAGCATCTTGTCCACCTTACTTCCATCACACCATGTCTCTGAAACGTTGGCCAGTGGCGTAACCCGTATTGTCAGGCTGATCGGTTACTATGACAATATGAATAATGAATGAAGCTGTCAAGTGTTGGTTATACATTGCCTTTCCAACTTGGCATTTGCTTCACACATAGCAGTTCGATTGGTATCACTTAGCTGTCATCTATTTTTGTGTTGAAACACTTATTGTTCGGAACCGAATATTACTGTGCGGAAGAAGAAAATGCTACATGCTGAATATTCGCAGCTCCATTATTTGCAGCTTTTTTGGGTTTTGGTCCATCTTTGAATAGTTTTGTTCTTTCAAAAATCCCAGGTAATAAAAATGTGCATTTTACCACCAGGTATCTCAACAAACCTAGTAAGATGAATTTTAACTACCAGTGAAACATTTCACACCATTTCGACATGCCGTTCCCTTAGTCCACTAAGAGAGGAATTCCACTTTGGTCTAATGTTATGAGTATTGTCTCTTTACTTCGTCAGATAGTAATAACAATACTTATTTTGCTCGGTACTTGTGTGTAAAACGATACAACCACCTCTTTGGTATCCTGGGGCGAAAGTAACTTACGTTTGTGTATTAGCAGCGATTTGTCAGTTCGTGACAGAAATGTGTAAGTTAATGTCAAACAGATTTGACCCCTGCTCCCATGTAGTCCACCTCAATAATTTACAAAACGCAGTTTGAGTGTAGTGTTACGAGCAATTGAAAGAGAAGGTGCTTTCGGTACATTCGGCAAACTGATCGAGTTATACTAGAGTGTCATTTTTAAGTACACGTTGCGTAGATGAATTGCGACGCGCAATCTGAAAGTGGATCGCGATTGCTATTGAAGTGAACCTAGGGCACTCTGGCAGAAGCTGAACCACATGGAAATTGCACGTCGCTCACCTAAAAACACTGCACACCACAACGTGTTTTAACCATTATTGAGCACAATAGATGGAGCTAGTAGATATCGAATCCGGGACCCTAAGATACCAACTAAGCAGCAAGGAAATTGCTGTTCGACAAGCTGCAATCCAACGGTTATCCGTTAAAATTTACTGAGCGCCACTGTGAAACAAACAACCAAGACCGTACGCTGACAGTCCCAAGGAAGTCTATTTTCATCGAGCTACATTTCAAACGTGACAGTGTGATAAAAACCACAGCGAAACAAAGTACTGCCTCACTGAAAAGAGCGTACAACATGGCGGAACTGCCGCTGTTGATCTCGACCAGATCAATGTCAATGTCTTCGATTAAGACACCCATGACAAAGCAGTGTATTTCCCATTGTCTATATACATTCACCTGTAGCTATGAAAGAACTACACTGGGCGCACTAACAGAAGTTTAGGCGTCAGCATCAGTGCACAAATTCCCAAGTGGTTAAGCGGCTGGATGGGGGCTGTGGCATCAGAATCCGCTGGATCGGGAAACTGAGCTGCCTCGGCTGTGACAAAGCACATGCTTCCCGTCGAGCACCGAGTCAATAATGATGAGTCATTCAAAGTCCTAATGCGCAAGCCGCAACTCCGAATCCTTAGGCTATTGGAGGCTATTGTTATCGACCGCGAACGACCACCGACAGCTGTGCATTCTAAAACAGCTGACAGTACCGTTGTTGGTGCCTGTGGTCGCCGTTTGTTTATCTTCTAAGGTTACATGTTTTGTGACTGATAAGTATGCACGAAATGACGGCATGATCTCACAAACTACCTCTTCTGATGTTTACGTTTGGAACGTGGGACCACTCGGACGTTTATTGTGGCCGCTCCCCCACCGGGTCACGGCGGGCAACGCTTCGCACAACGGTCAGTGATTGGAGGGTCCTATTGAAGTACACGTTTTGCGGATGAATCGCCATGCACAAATAAATCGAATCATGTCATGAAGTGCAGTGATTTCGAGTGGGCAACACCCAATTTTCATCTAATCGGGCTTTACTTTAAAGCACACTAATCTGAAAATTAGGCTAGTTCCCTGCGCTACTGACTCTCGGTTTGTGCTTCCAAACTAATCGTTGGAGCACTAACCTTTGCAGCAAGCCCTGTCCGCATAGTATAATAATCTAATCAGAAATGCACCAAATGGTAACTATCATGTCCAATTATTACTGCCTGAAGAGTCCATATAAGGACGAAATTAGTCATGGAATGCATTGTTGAAATCCGGTAGCAACGAATTTGTTTGTTTCGACGGTGAAACATAAATTCAGTACTTTCATATATTCAAATCAGCCTTCTTTTTACAGATTGGGGTACAGGTAGGTTGCGTACGGAGACAATCAAGGTGCAACATCAATAGCGCAACGGTGGTAGTTAAAGTTCATCGGTCACTGGCCGCATTTCACTTAAAGAAAGCTTGCCACCAGACAAGAGGAAAATAGCCACCAAAATGATTTGTTTACAGGCAGTGGGTTCTAGTCGTTTAATTCCCCAAGCCTCAGAAAACCGAAGTAGACGGGCTGCGCTCTGTCGGTTGGGAATCCTAAATGATTCGAGTGGGTTCGTCGAGTATGTCGAACAATCGAACTAACGGTCAGCTTTGGATCACTGGTGACCAAGATGCGTGGAATATTCTCTGAAATTCTTGTTGAAGATCTCGTTCTAGTTCAACCAACAAAATGGGCGAATTCAGAGTATCCAACTTAAAATTTATGAGGAGAAAGTCTTGATAGAATTTGTTTGCTTTCCAGCTGCGGTACCTTTGATCTAACAGGCACAGACACACTGCAAATTCAAGTAAAGAATGTGTTAGAGAGTAATGGTGAAATTCGTGCTGCCCTTTAGCGTCTCATTCCCTAAACAAAAGTCTGCAGTTCGAAATCCATAAACGAGCTCCTGCTCATAGTTAGAGGCAATACTCGATGACGGAAACCGCCTTTTCTGTGCACACCTAGGGCTATAGCTACCCAAGGAGAGCAAACAATGCCGGAACTAGCAGTAATATACGGCGGTGTTGGGGAGAACAAAGTGATGATAATCCACTTCCGTTGGTGTCACATTATTTAGAAGGATCGGGGCTTACTTCAGTGTGAATCGTTAGGCGAATTGAGACTTTAAATTGCTGCCCTAGCACATAGTTCACAGTTCGACTCACTACGATATGTGAAACAGTATCGTACTAGTTTCTCGCTGTTTTGGGTTCAATAAATAAGTTGTGTTGAATTAGACGCGCTCACACCGCAGGAGTGAATCTGTGTATTACACAGCATGAAAGATATCGCATCCGTGATGTGAGCTTCAAGATTAAAATTCGAAGGACAAACACAAGTAAATTTTTCCCATTGCATACCCTGAGCTTTGAAATAAATTGCTTCAAGGTATCAGGGAGTGCGGCAACTTATATGAGCATAAAATTTCTGTTAAGGAGCATCTTACTGTGCAAAAGATATTCATGTTACGGAATTCAAAAATAGCATCAACATCATGTGGGAGTATCATTGAAGGGTATCGCAACTTGCGATTGCTTGTGAGTTAGTTACTTGAATTCGTACCGCGTGGAAAAACTGTACCGTTATTTTCTGTCTTGCCTAAATTTGTGACAGAATCTGAATTTGATATATGCCTATGCTTACGTCGGGAACAAATCCAACGTGGCCGCTGACGATTGCAGACGTAAGATGTGAGGAAATTTTCTCCCAGCATGTCTCTCACACAAACCTAGTTACTCCAGTCAATTAACACAGTGAATGTGTGTAATAGGTATAAATTTATCACATAGTACATTAGCGATATGATCGGCATAAATGCGAAATCCACCTGCTGGAGTGAATTATTTCCTATCCTGTGTTGGAGGATAGCAAATGCGGAACACAGCTATGTATTTTTTCATTGCTCCCTATTTGGGAACAGGCTCTTGCACTGTCGAGAAATAAAAAAATATTTATCTAACACAAAATAAGGAAAATGGATAATCAGCGCGTGGTTAGGCTTAACGTTTGGAGAATTGTTCGTTCG